AGGTCTACCTTTACCCCTCCTAACTCCCGTTTCTGCCTCTAATATGTCTCTGACTAGACCTTTATGCCTGAGAAGGTGTCCTACCAACCTATCTCGCCTATTTCCTATTGACTTCCATAAAGTCTTGTTCTCTCCTATTCTTTTTAATACCTCTTCATTTCTAACCCTCCCTATCCACGGTATCCTCATCATTCGCCTATAACACCACAATTCGAACGCTTCTAACCTTTTCTTTTCCGCCGTACCCACTGTCCATGTTTCGCACCCGTACAGAGCCGTGTTCCAAAAATACACCTTCAGCAACCTTTTTAGAATTTCTAAATTAACCATTCGCGAGCATAGAAGTGACTTCTTTTTATTAAAGGCGACTCGACCCTGCGCTATCCTTTACTTTATATCCCTACTACTCCTTCCGTCCTGACTTATCTGACTTCCTAGATGCCTAAAATCAATCACTTCTTCTAATTTTTCGTCTCCTATCTTTATATTCGCTCTTTCCCTTCTTTTTCTTCCCTTGCATACCAGAATTTTCGTTTTACTTTTATTCATTTTCATACAGTACGTACTGTTTTCTCAGTACCGATTCCATTTTATTTAGAGCTATCTCTAACTCCTTCGTGCTTAATTAATAAGTCTACTACAAAATGATCTGTTTGTTTCTGTTTTAAGTACAAATTCATTATTAGTTAAAACGAATAATAAGTATAGAAGTAGAAGGAATAGAAATTGAATATCGTTTTATTGTTAACTTGTAGATAAAATTCTTATTGTTCCGGAATTTGCCAAAAATGCATGCTGTAAAAACAGCAGGATTCGTTTTAGAGCATTTGTTTTAGATACTGAATAATAAAGTACAAGACATGTACGAATTGTAACTGTTATTAAACGAAATGCAGTAACGCCACTTAAGACATGTAGATGTAACAGATGGGCCAAATTCCAAAAATACACTATCACCATTGGCGACGCTTAGCGTCCTGTCACAATTAGTAGCTTTTTCGTCGCCCACATTTACACTCCAACGCCATACTTTCAGGTTTACGCTTTTATTGCCCTACAAAACAGCCAGGCTATTTCTGAAACTGCATAATCACCAACCAGTGACTAAAGTTTTATGTGATCACAAACAACTTTCTTATTTAGAAGCATTACACCAAAAACCGACATTGTGAAATTTGTTTTCAATTTATAGGAAAAGCATAAATTTTTGAAATCTAGTATGGAAAAAAAAAGTAAACCATTAG